GACAATGTTTTTTTGCTTTGCCCCGAAATGCAACACAAGTCTTCGGATGGAAGATGCTCGTTTTATCGCTTACTGATGCGGAGACTGGGTTCGGACCATAAGGTAAACTCATGTAATTATTCCAAGGTTCTTAAAAAAGATGGTTGCTAACAAGTTGCTAAATGGGACTACAGGCGCTGTCGGAGACATTTAACGTCATCACGCCGAATAGTTCATCAATTTACAGTATATTCCAATCGCAGTGTATAATTTACAGTACAGTTAATTGTAAAATAACCAATTAATAGTTTACCACATTTTATATTGTTGTTCGACAATGTTTTTTTGCTTTGCCCCGAAATGCAACACAAGTCTTCGGATGGAAGATGCTCGTTTTATCGCTTACTGATGAAGAGACTGGGTTCGGACCATAAGGTAAACTCATGTAATTATTCCATGGAAACACCACATTTACCGGCTTAGTTGCAGTGAAAGTGAAACTTTAACGATGCATAGTGCTTAAAGCCACGTTAAAATTAAATGCTTACGGCCACAAGCAGCTGTTAGATTGAGGATTTTCTAGAAGCAAGGATAAAATAATATTTTGTGTACCCGCATCCTAACAAAACGATGGCTGAAATGTGGTACTTTATTCAATAAAATAAGTTTAATCTTACCATATCCAAAAACTCGCTCACTCTGCTGTTATTTAATAGATTAAATGCACTAGAATTTTATTGAATAGAACGTGGCGACACGTTTTTAAATTAAAATATTCATATTAATCAAAGATTTATTCACTTTTAATGCAACTTATTTTGAAATGTACAGAAATACGTGCTTTCATATGTGCTTTAGTTACGATTATTTCATTTATTCACCATACTATTTATTACTAATGTCTCATTTTAATTTTAGTTTGGCTTTAGTTTTGTATTTATTCGGGTTTATATGAAGAGGTTCATCCCAGCTAACAGAATTTTGTTACAAGAACTTTCTCCAAATATTCAGTGTTGGTTCTAGGGCTGGGTATCGATTTAGATGTCCCGATTCGATTCGATTCTCGATTTTTTTTAATTACATTCAGTGAATATAGTTTTAATACAAATGCTATTGATATTTCAAAAAATATGAACAGTAAATATCAGTTTACAAATGGTGAATTAATAAAAAGAAAATAAGAACCACATGCCTGTATTTTAAACCTATTCTTTTTTTCGTATAGGGTCCTTTTTTAAACAATAATAGGGCCCTATAAAATTTTTCTGGTAATCAGATGAAGGCATAAAACATTAATTTAATTTATCCTAATCCCTTAACCCTTTTATTTTTTGGCAAACAAAGTGCTGCACAACAGAGGTTTACTGTTAAAATGAAAAAGAAAACAGATGTGCTTATTCCTTTAAAAATAAAGATTTATTAATATTTATTAGCAGTAGTAGCATTGAGTCTTAAGACTGCTAAATAGTAATATATTCTGACAGTAGAACGTTAAACTAAACTTTTATTTTGACTGGTTGCCGTGAAGAACTTCCAGCTGCTGTGTATGTGATATGACGGTAGTTTTCTCAAATGAAACAGCAAATGCTAATGAAGTGACTCTCAGAGCAGCTGGAGATGACATTCGTGTTCATATCATCATATAGTGAGACGGCAGAAGCTGAAAACACTGCGAGCGTCATCCGTGCTTTATTATGTGTGTAGTAAACAAAAAAGTGCGCCGCACCATCCGCCATTCATTCATTGCGGAAATCATGGCGCCTTATGCGTGATATCAAATGCTTCCGCAGATTTATAGTATTACTAAAGCAATTCACCTGAACATTGTGAATCATGCATATGGCCATGATAAGTGCTGAATGAATGACAGGCTTTCCGTTGTAACATTGCGCAAGGTAAATAAGGGTAACATCTGGTGGAGAAGACTAATGATAAGATTCACGTTAATCAGATCTTGTTTTAAATGTGTGCTGAAATAAATACTGGAAAAGATAGATTCGCAGCTTGTGAGAATCGATATCAAATCGACGTCATTTAAAAAAATAATTAATTGGAAAATCACTTTTTTTGCCCAGTCCTAGTTGGTTCAGAAATGTCTTCTGAAAACACCTGCAATTGCTGCAAAACAAGCAACTCAAGAAATGTCAAGGGTCAAGAGCCCAACTAAAGCAAACACCGATCTCCATGATGGTGACCTCAAACATTTTTAATAAGACATCAACATCTAAACCTCTGTTAATTCACAATAAGAACTTCTGTAGACGTCTGACAGAAATAAAGTCAATCTGGTTAGTAATAACTGAAGCTGGTGATGCTGTTTGTGGAGTTGTTTAATCAGATCTTGAGAGATTTAATGTATTTTAACTGAGCCCTACTTATTTAAAGACTCAAAATCTCTCTGTAACTGGTCTTTCTCAGCAGTGAAATCTTTGAAGCTCCAGTTTCTTCTGAGTCAAAGAGTTGAAGTTGTTCTGCAGTTGGTGTTTTTCAGTCATTAGATCAGTGTACAGTTGTCCTGTAAGCTGTTGATGGTTTGTTTGAACTCTTCAGCTGTGTTCTTGTAACTCTTTATCAGGTCTCTCTTTGCTGTGATGGTGATGTGCAGCAGTATGATGAATGTGTGTTGTTTTGCTATGTCCCATGCACTGCTCGTTAAATTGGAATGATATATATTATTTGTCAAATCATAAAATTAAAGAAAACAATTCTCCTATTAATATTTTAAGAGTTGAAGTTGTTCTGCAGTTGGTGTTTTTCAGTCATCAGATCAGTGTAACTGTCCTGTAAGCTGTTGATGGTTTGATTGAACTCTTCAGCTGTGTTCTTGTAACTCTTTATCAGGTCTCTCTTTGCTGTGATGGTGATGTGCAGCAGTATGATGAATGTGTGTTGTTTTGCTATGTCCCATGCACTGCTCGTTAAATTGGAATGATAGTATATTATTGTCAAATCATAAAATTAAAGAAAACAATTCTCCTATTAATATTTTATTAAATAAGAGATTACTTGATTTGAGTGTATTGATCATTTGGTAATAAATGCTATATTTTTATTTAATAAAAAAGAAGAGTTTGTCCATGTCCCTTGAATGGCGTTCCACCCTGTCATATTGGGGAATCCGCCCCTTTAAGATAAGGCCATCCCCTTTAGTGACATCAGGACAACAGATTTTTTTGTCTCTTCAGTGGCGGGAATTTCAACAGCAGAGGTGAAATTTGTTGGTGACTTTTCAATTGACAAATTTTCTTCGTCCGAGTTTGCTTACTTGCTTTGCCAAAGCTTAACATATCCACCCTGTCGCCATTAAATATGCCAGAATACTGTCGAATACAGTATTTTCTAAATATGTAAGTTTAAATATACCACATTCTCTTCAACAACCAGACTAACTATTAAGCTAGTCACAGGTTTTTGTAAGCTAATATGCTAATTGAAGCTCAAAATGTGGGTGGACATAAACATGACAGGGACATAGCATTCATTCGTGGTTAATATTGCTAAAAAATATATGAATGGGGGGGGGGGGTAATTTTCTTTACATTTCTGAAATCTTAATATGGCAATGAAAACATATTTAACAGTAATATATATGTCCATGACAGGGTGAACGTATCTTATGGTTTATGCTTTGAATAATGACCCATAATTATCTAAAACAAATGTGTGGGAGCTCAGCTAATATGTTTCTATAGTACTTGAGTGTGTACTATTTATGACATGACATAAAGCAAATGGTAAATTAAAAACAAAATTTGTGAGTATTGTGAGGGTTGAAAGGCATTCTATGGTGATATTGACCCAAATATAAAAATTATTCTGTTAATACATAACAGTAACACTGACACATATTTTCTAGAAAACAATAATGCGTTCTCATTTCCTCAAACATTACTGACCATATCTGCTTTAAATAAACTTAATTAAGCTTACTGCACGTTTGAGCTATTCCATCATCCTGACTCCAGTCGAGTCCTTACTATTTATTTTTTCAAAATTTACATAATAGGTCTCTGTTTCATTTATTTGCACTTACAGTCTTATAGTGTGGTATGTGTAAACATATGAGCTGTGGTCTCTAGAATGGGTACCTTTTTTGCTTAAATAGTACAAATCAGTCACTTTGGCGGAAACAGTGCAGTAAGTTTAAGCGGAACCAGACCGAGACCTTGATCACTTAGTATCCACTATGGAGCAGCATAATTATTTACCTTTTTTATTACCTGAAAAATTGTTTTTGCACATTTCTACAGGCACACTTGGGCTGTTAGACAAAATATTAAGAAATACACAGGTTGGCAGTGTCACAGCTACTTGTAGTAAAGGGAAGAGAAAGGATGTAAATGTAGCAGTCAGTCTTTAATAACGGCAGTAAAGTAATAAATAGAAGGAGCCAACCCCAGAAGGAGGAACCAGACAAGAAACAGATGAGCTACGTAATCAGTAACCATAACAACAAATAAGCAATGGGAAGAAAGGAAGCAGGAACAAAACACAGGAAAATAAGGCGATACAAACTAAAAGTCCATGGAAATGAAACTGAATCCAAAAACTGAACAAGACAGACAGGGGGTGTAAACCTTTGAACAAGATGGTGATGAGTAAATTGTTCTTATTTTGTTTCAAGTTTTTTTTTTCCATTTAGTACTGCTTTCCAGAAACTACAGAATATTTTTTCTGTCTGCTCTGCTCTCTGCTGCATCCTGCTGGACTGGAGGAAATCTTGTCATAAAGCAACAAGGCAGATACACAAGAAACTAAACCAAAAATTACTGTCAATTAACCGTTTTATTAAAACGGAACGCAATTAAAATCAGAAGCAGTTTTACAGACACTCAATATCAGAGTAAAAGTGTGTATTATTGCTGTCTGGGGGACTCTAGACTTCTACTATGATTGTCACCTCAACACTTCAGACCAACAAATGAGAAACACGATAACAGCAGAATATGGTCATACTAACAGCTGCTACAATGGAGCAATGTAAAAGCATGTAAAAGCAAGACAAGGATGAAGGATGATCCCTATTTCTCACAAATCCCTTTTCTCTTCTTTGAGCATGGTAGATCACTCCAGTTGTTCAGGATGAGATCTGAAGGCATCAGTTCAATACAGTCCTCATTTCCACCTTGAAAGTTATTCGGCTCACCTCTGGCCCAAAACCTGAATAAAAATGTGCCCGATTTTCAATGAACCCCCTAAAATTTGCTCAAAGTTTTCATCCATTATTTAGCAACTTAATGAGGATTGTGACAACCAATTCAGTAATCAACAATGCTCGCAGCAGCCCAATAGTTTCAAGAGTAAACTAAAATACTGCAGAAGCAGAAGTGAAAATTTAAGAGAGGAGGAGAATATTCTTTTAATAGAATGTATTTGTGAGAATTGCCTTTCATGGTTGTGCTGGTGGAAGAACTGTGTGTTCAGAAAATCTTCTCATTAATGGTCTTATTTTTAAATGAAGAATAAACAGACTAAAACAAATAAATCCACCATGGTTTTCTGTGAGTGTTTTAACTCTTACCCTTGTTTCATTGGTGAATTATCCACCCATTTCATGATGCCCTCATTCTCTGCGTCAGACAAACCAATCCACACGCTCTCCTTGATGAATGAAGATATGTGTCTCTGTGTGAATAGGAATAACAAGGAATAAGTGTGATTCATCTCATTCAGTAATAGACACAAAAACTCACCTGCTTCTCTTCAGTGTTGATAATGATCAGATCAGCTCCACGATCCCTGCAGTACTGCCTGCTGTCAGACCCGCTCTTCAACTCACTGGACATGAACACGCCATCTGGACCCCACAGATATCCTGAGAGAAACACAGACTTTTAAAGCTGGAGTAGGCAGTTTCTGCACTACTAGTGTAACATAGCGGAAATACAAAAATACATCATTTTTTTCACACAACCTTTGCAAATGCCTCTTTTGGGCATCATGCCTCCCCAAACTGTGAACAGGAGTCATCATGGGCTCTCTGATTGCTCTGCGGCTACACAGACCCATTGAGACTTTCAAGCAGTAAAACAAAATGAGTATGGAAAATGTTGCCTTCCCTATAGCTTTAAAATTGTATATAGGATTAACAACAACAACAACAACAAAACAGTTCAAACCTCGCTTAGTAGTGGCCTGAAAGTGCTGCAGTATGATGCCAGCAATCAGAAGAAGACAAATGATCCCAAGACACACAGTGATCACCACCAAAAACCCCCTTCTTCCTGTCAGACACAAATAAAACATAAAATATTGATCAATATTTACTGTACAGTAAAACACCCAAACAAGAAAATATGCTGCTTAAGTAAGTAACTTTTTGTTCTTAGAAAATGACTGAAATACTATCTTACAGTTCTCACTTCCTGAAAGCTTACTGACATAATCTCTGATTCAAACTAAAGGTTCTGCTTACTGTGATTTCGAGCTCTTCCTTCATCCTGGCAGTGTGTTTGAGGTGCAGTTGTGTCCACAAAATTTCTGTGATTAGCAGTTTCATTAAAGTAATCTCCATTAAATTCCATTTTTTGTGTGTGTCTTGCAGTATGTCTTCACAGATGAGCTGTGGTCTTTCAAATGATGGTTATGGTATGATTCATTTTAATAGTGTTAATTTTACACAGGAAGTGATTTCATCGGACACTGTCCTTCAGTGTAAATATAGACTTCTAGTCTGACATTCTCCTCAGACTTTGCATCACTGTGGTACCGTGACCTTACCTTTAACTCTGAGATAAGATTTGGTTGAAGGACGTTCAGAAGATCCTAATTGTCATAAATCCTGTCCGTGGCCTTTCGTCCGCTCGCCACCAGAGCTCGCCCTCTCATTATATTGACTCCCACACTACACAGACTGTTTCGTGTCACTCCGGACTACATTCTACATTTTCTATGGCACTGATTATGGACTCACCTGCAGCCAATAGCGTTTATCCCTGCTTAGCGGTAGCTACATATTCCTAGTTGTTTAATTCTGTACAGAGTCTGAAGGGTTTCTATTAGAATGGTGGGAAATTTCAAGTTAAGGTATGGCTATAAACAGAATAATTCACGTTGATTGTTTGTTGTGATACATTTGTCTTGCATGAAAAAAATATTTCAATATGCAGCTTAAATAAATTTTGTGAGCAATAAATATGTTTAATAGTAAGTAGGTTATGTGGCTACAAATAAAAAATGGCACAATTAATGAAGCTGAGATCTATGCACTGGCTTACAAAACAAAGGTAATATTAGAGATATTTAAATATATTATTATATATAAAAAAACATTATTAAATGTACAGAACACAGGCATAGTTTGGGTCTGAAGAGTTTCAGACTGGAAGTCTATATTCTTCATGAATGCCAGTGTCCAATGATATCACTTCCCTCATAGGTTTAGCACCATTAAAACAAAAGTAGTCATCATTCTAAGGACCACAGCTCATCTGTGAAGACGTACTGGAAGACACAAATGCAATAGAGGACTTTTGTGATAATGCTACATGCAGAAGTGTTAAGAATTCAACTTGACTTCAAACACTCCGCAGCGATGAAAGAAAAGCTTGCAAACACAGTAAGAAGAAAGTTCAGTTTGAAGCAGAGAGGATGTCAGGATGCTTTCAGGAAATGAGAACTGTCAGATACAATACAATATGTGAATATTTCTGTTTTTATATGAAATGTATTAATTGATTTATTGTTTATATATATTTTTTTACTTTTACTTTTTCACCATATGATCTTGTTTGCGTATTTTACTGTAGTAATTCCAGATGTTCGCCATTATAAAAGTACTTTATTCTTGAAGCTTAATTTATGATAATATCAATTGTTATAAATGGCGTTCCCTGATTTCATGTCAGCCCTGTTACTACCCTCATCAAAAAAAAAAACTTATAAAATAATGTACATTCAAGTGACATCTCTACTAGGAGGTTACATCATCTCTCAACCACACTGTAAAAAAATTGTGCCGTTAAATAACAGTAATTTACTGGTAGCAGGGTTGCCAGTAAGGTACTGTTAATTTACGGCTTTCAACCATTAATTTACAAAATTTTTACAGTGTTTTACCGTAATTCTACCATGGAAATTAACTCAGCTCCCATTGCTTCAAACAGTTCAAGTATAAAAACTAGCGTTCATACGATATTAGTACTCTGAACTTATTTCATTTGAGTCCACTGAGAAGGAATATTTTTTGGTATAAAACTGCAAACACTTAATGTGTAACAGCAAAATAACTAAAAACATAACTTTAACTCAAATCATTGCAGTTCACTGTTAGCTACAGCACACACGTGTGAGATGAAATAACAAAGAGATCATTACTGTATCAGCAACTCCACAGTTACTGTCTTTAAATAAAGCAGCAGAACGTCAGTGTTTGTGGCTCATCATTGACTGAAGCACAGGCTCTACTCTCCAGCACAATGGAGACCCACAAAACTACATTAAACTAACAGATCTCTCTTGTGCCAAAACACAATAATACCGTTCAGTTCAATATTTACTCTCCTTATCAGTTCATGACTTTGCATAACTTTTTTTCTATG